AAAAGCAAGAAGAACATAAAAAGATCATGTCGAAGTGGAAAACTTCCACCGGGAGGCTGTGAAGCTGCCGCTCGGCTGAGTGAAGCCATCTTGAAGCTAATAATATCTGGGTGGAGTCAAGACCAAAGTGAATTGCTGCCATCTTAAAACATCAGTTTCAAAAATTTCATTGCAGTTTATGCAAATGGTATTTTAATAATGTTTACACTGCTCTATGTGGTCATGTGAAGGGCTTGTGACCTGTCCAGGGTGTACTCCAACTCTCACATGCTGACCACTGGAGACAGGCTCCAGTTCTCCCTCAACCCAGAAAAATAAGACTATTAAAATATTTGGACGGATGGTTACTCTGACAGAAACATTATTATATTTATGCAGGACGTAGCCCAGGCTGCAGGAGAAAAGCTATTGCTAACTGCTGCTCCCACATATACTCATCAGACTCCATGTAAATTACAAATTAATTGGTTGTAAATAAAACTGTAAACTGCAGGTGTTGTAAAGATGATTAAAAATAACTTTTGCATGAACCACTGACAATGTTGAAATGAGTTGTTTCAAGAAGACAGCTGCAATTCCCTCTGCTCCTGCCCCTTGATGGAAGTAAACATCAATTCTGTGAGAATTAATTATTTCTCCAGACTAAGGTTGTTCAAAGACCTGTCTAAAATCGTTAATCTTGTTTATGTTTCCCAAAAATTGTGCTTCAAAAGATCTAAATTATCACTTGAAGTTGTTCAATTCACAAACAAAAATGTATTTGCTTCATTTTTTTTGTGAAACACTGAGTACTGACCGGAGAACATGCCAGAATCGAGCGTCTGCTTAGGTCAGTTATTGCAAAATGTTTGCCAGAAGAAAATTCTTTGTTCTGCTTAAAGTCCTGGATAAGGTTGTTCTACAAGGACAAAAGTCTTTTCTGGATAAATTATCAGGTTCCAACTTTTATGTTTTGAGGCAAGGCCCACTTGTTTAAGAATACACACACACACATTCTCAAAAGTCAAATTAAGATATTTTATTAAGCTCGTCTTTGTTGTTGACAGCTGATTTATGCAACATTTAAATTATCCCTCTACTGTTACAGCCGTCAGACGAACAGGTGAAAGAGGCAACAGATTACTGCTTTCAAATGACGGATAAGATGGACAAGGCTCGATTAAACGGAGACTACCACGAGGTGTTGTAAAATAAAAAATAACATCTGACACACCTAATGACTTCAACTTATCAATATTTCAAAATAAGATTTTTTTCTTTTGTTTATTGCTCGTCAGGTGGTGAAAATCTGCAGGGACTGCACTGAGAAGACCGAGCCGGTTCTGGCTGACACATCTACCTGCTGAGGATGTGAAGCACGATGAGCGAGGTCCTGTCCTACCTGCAGAAATTTGAGGAAGCCGCAGAATACCCCCACAAAATGGTGGATGGATACACGCGAGTTCAAACACGCAGCTTTTATAAAATGTCTTGTTTCCCAAAATAATGTGTTTGTCCATGCTTTGCACTTCAGAGCTTTTATGAACTGGTTACATTGACAAGCATCAAGTTTTAATGTGAAAATCTTAATAAAAAGTCCAAATCTTGCATTTCTGGCAGAAAATGTAATCACCTTCACAACGCAGCTCTCGGTATGGCAGCCATGCAAACAGGATTAACTTACTGGCAGGCTGGACTAATAGAAGTTGGAAATGGGATGACCTGCAAGGCCTACGCCTTCCTCATGGTCACCCACGGTCCAACACATCCCATCACTAAGGACCTTGAGGTAAACAGCCAAATTACTCGGGCGTGTATACAATATAAAAAAACTTTAACCAGAGTAGTCTATGCATGTTTCTGTGTATTTGTTCCATCAAGTGGGGAGGTTCCATTTCGTCTTACTGGTTTTTATATGCTCAAATTTCATTTTTATCCAACACATTTGGAGCAGTGATGCCTTCATCCTGATTTTATTCACAGGCGATGCACCTACAGACTGAAGCCGAGGATGTTCAAGCAGAACGAGTACTACAGTATTAGGGGTAGCTCTGAAAACAAGCCCAAGCTGCACGAAACCAGATTTGAGGGAGTCATGAATCTTTTACACCAGAAGTAGCTTTGATGTGAGACTGTAAAAGCAATTTTTGTTCTCCAGATTTCACCATTTTTCCTCATCTGTCACATGACTAACTACGATGACCATTTGAGCACTAGTTTTAAGTTTTCTAAAGTTTTATTTTTTAGTCAAGTTCATAGTTTCCTGCACTAAAAAGACCCATCCCAACTTTACTGCTTCTGTGGTTTATTCCTTAAGGGATTGTTGATTGTCACCTCATGTTAACTTGCCGAAGTGTTCGTTCCCAACTTCCCCCACCCCTCTTATGTATACAAGAGCATAGACCATGCACGCACATAACAGGCGAAGAGTTGAATTTATTTCTAAACAGGATTCCCATGAAATATTTGGTTAAGCAATGAGCTTTAGCAGGAGTCAAGCTTATTATTTTTTTTTTTTAACCCGGTTTGTGTTTAAAGCCACAACTGGTGGCCTTTGAGTCAATCTGGAGCAGACAGCCAGTAGGTGTGTGTGGGGTGTTCCATTTTCACTCCTTATGTCTGTAAGGACACGTTTGTATAACCCAAATTCAGTTTTGGCCAAAGCTTGAACGAGCCACAGGTAGCAGAACCATGGTTTAGAGGCAAATTGTTTTTACACCATTTAAGGAAAACAGTTTATCCAAAAATTTGGCACTGCAGCCTGCCATTTGGAAGTCCACTTTTAGACCCCGATCATTTCATTTAAGAATTGCAGAATTCATAAAAGCAGAGTTCTGATTAGTCTTATAAGGTCACCCCCCCCGAATTATAAAATTCAGGCAGGTCAGTGAACAGTTGTACAAGAGTCAACTGGTGCTGGGTCATTTTTTCCCCCCCAGAGTTTCATCAAGAATTATTCACACAGGTTCTGCTGGTTTACATTTTTTTTTTTTTTTTAATTTGCCCTTGGTACAAACAGTTACACGCGCTTGCTTATCCTCTTGTATACAACGCCACCAACGGTCATCATCTGCCAAGAGAAGAATCCATTAGAATAGAAACTTGACACATGTATTTATAAAAAAAAAAAAAAAAAAAAAAAAAAAAAAGACAAACCTACATTTACAATTGTGTTCTGATCCAGCATTTCTGTGACAGACTCAATTCCCTTCAAAGAAACCTTCAGCTTGCCTCCATCTCGTAGAACCACCCCCTATGGAGAAACTAGGTTTAAAAACTACATACAC